AGTCGCAGAAAGCATCGTACAGCAGTTTGACACAAAGCAGAAAATACCAAACTCCAGCACATGCTGTTTTTTTACACCTCTGCTCTCCAACAGGTGTCACATGAGGTGATTCAACTTGATTCAACCCTAAAAATTCACATACATCAAGAGGTTCAAATCACATATATGTTTCTTTCTTTCTTTCTTTCACCTCCCCAGTATGTGGGACTTTAACCTCGTCTGCTGGATGCCATATGGCATTATTGTAGTATTTCATTGCACTGATTAAGTTGATTTATGGCATAAAAAAATCCACGACCAGCTTATAAAATATAAAGTTTATTATTGAAAAGTGGCCACAGGTAACAAGCACTTGGATACTTGTAGTACTTTGTCTTTGAAGCAAATTAACTGGACAGGTACTTATGTAGAGCTTTAATACAAACAATCAAAGCACATTTTACTGCAAGCCTCATCCAACCAATCACGCCCGTTCATACAAGCACTTTTTTCCTGTTGCATACACGCCTCTAACATTCACACACTCACTCTGCATTCTTAGTTAGTAGACTTTTTCTCATGTAGAGGATCTGTTAACTCTTATGACAGGATTTGTGAGCATTTAGAATTCAGTTAGCGAGAGAATCCAAATAATCATGTGTTACTAAATTAAGAGGATCCAAAGGGATTAACATTAATGTTACTAAACACAAGACAGTGTAGATGATTCTACTCTGCAATGTAGAGGTGACCTATTCAGGCGACCTGCCTCTGCCTCTAGCTCTAGCCCACCACGACCCTGACCTGTATGCGAGGTGAAGAAAATGAACTGATGGGTGGACGGATATGCTTTGCTAATGTAACATTAAGATGACTGTGAAGCAGTCAGCCCGTGTCCTTCACATGCTGACACCAGAGAAGCTGTTGATTGGCAGTGACATGACTTTGTCCAGATACTTGCTGAGTGGCAGCTCTTGCTCGCTGCCGATGCTGTACCTACACCGAATGGTGCAACCCGGGTCCAAGCATGGAGAGATTTCTATTCTGTAAAAGAACAATGCAGCATGTTAGTTTTTCTTAAAGGGTGAAAGTGGACAAGTAAAAACAGAAGAAGCATAAAATTACTTTTGGACATTGGTGTATATCCTGCGAGGGTCTTTGTCCAGACACACGCAGAGTGTTCGTTGCTCCATTGTCCTGATGCTGATGTTTCGAGTTTCGATTTTCTATCATTAACAGATTCAGTTAACGGTTGCCTTCAGATATGGATATAGCACTTCCACTGCATCATGCATAATGAGACATAACTAGCCAATAATCCAAGGCAGAAGAGAAAAACGTCTTACTGTGCTGTATGCGGGGTTCAGAGAGTCAAAACTTGCAGTCAGGTAACTCTCCCCTAAACAAAATGAAAAGGATGACTCAGTTTTTTCTCCACATAATTCTTATTGCACTGAAATAAAGCAATTGATAAAAAAAACAAACAAACAAAAAAAGAAAACCAACAACAAACCTGACGCTGAAGCTGCCGGCTCTGAGGTAATCACCACACGCCAGGTCATAGATGCTTCTCCTTTAACGTCTCGTTTGCTTAAAGTGGCCTGTTGAGAACATCAGTGAGTGTGAGTCTGTGTGCAAGTGTGACAGTGTTAATGAGTGTAAAAGGATAAGGGGTGCACCTTTGTGTAGCTGACCGACAGAACCACCCCAAAGAGTTCCACTGATGACTTCTTTTGTCGTACAGAAGGTTCCCCTGTCAAAGACGAGCCAGTTTATGTCGCCATCTGTTGCCGTGGTTACATCAATATCCACACACACATGCACAGAAAGATTCGCACACATACTCTGCTGCCGGTCTTTAAGGTGTCTGAAATCTGGGATGTCGGCCTCCACGTGGGACACAAACAGCTCCTCCACGGCCAGATCAGAGTTGGAGAGGGTCATCTAAACACACGGCATATTTAATCAAATCAAAAACCAGCGCGAACAAACGAATGACAGCACCTACCAGACTCTACACTGAAGAAGTAACTGCTAAACTTAGTTTAGTTAAAGCTGTAACATTTGAATTTGTTTGGAAACAGTGAATGAGCTGGAAAGACATTTGGACGCCCATCTGCCACTTTATTAGGCACGCATGTTCATCTGCTATTGATGCAAATACGGAGTCAAACAATCAGCAACTCAGTGCATTCAGGCATGTAGTAAGGGTCAAGTCACATATGTTTATAAAGGCATGTAGGTCAAGACGACGTGCTGAAGTTCAAACTGAGCACCGTGATCTGAGTATTTTAGAAACTGCTGGTCTGCTGGGGTTATCCTAGGACAGAGGAGAATGGCCAGACTGTTTTGAGCCAATGGGAATAAAATTATTACTTAAATAGCCACTCTTTACAAATGAAGTATGCAGAAAAGCATCTCTGAACACACAACACATTGAAGCAGATGGGCTGCAGCAGCAGAAGACCGCACCGTTCGCTGCTCTTGTCAGCTAAGAACAGGAAACTAAATCTACAATCAGAGTCACAATACTTTTAGAATTAGAATGGGTTCACCAAAACTGAACATTATCGTGGATCAACACACCAAAATCTCTGGAAGGTTTCCAGCATCTTGTTGAATCTTTTTCATAAATAATTAATTCAGCTCAGATGGGAATCAGCAAACTGTACCTAATAAACTGGCCAGTGCATGTCACCAAAAAGCTTGTGAAGTTATTATGAACTGAGATCAACATTTCTTGTACTCTGATTTGGTTCACCTAGTGAATAAAGTGGAACATTTTCTCTCATCTTAGCTCAGATTTGTTCTCAACACACTGTAGGAAAAATAATTTATGCTAACACAGTTTGCAAAAATAACACAGCATTTAAATTAGATCAACATGAAATTTGTTACAGTCATAAAAACAACAACAACAAGAAATTGTTGCATAAGTGAATCCCTGAGAGGGCAAAACCCTCAGATGCAAACACAGGGACTGGTTCACCTTTCTGTGAGTTAAACTATGTGGTTCAGGAGCTTAAGAATACAATTTGAGAATTTGGCTGTTCCCTCATCTATTATTGGAATAATGAACAAGCCAAGTCAGTTTTGGCTGTGAACTTTGATATTACTACATTAGAAACAGAGAAAAAGAACTGAAACTCACTGAAAATGATACAAAAATCCACAAACAAATAAAACTAATGTGAAAAATTATGAAACAAAGACATGTCACAGGAGGCCTAATACTAAATGTCTAAGTCCCCATATCAGCAGAAAAACATTTCATTGTCCAAACTACAGCTAATGCTAAAACTCAAATTCAACACGCAGTTACACGATTTGACACAAGTCCAGCTTTAAGTAAGAAAAATAGACATTATTTATTATTATTTTGTTTTTAGCTGAATTCTGCTACGATGTTTGACACATGAAAAGCCAGCCTTGCTCTTTGGCTTCCACATTTAAATGCATGTAAAACACAATATCTACACATGATAGCTCTGCTGTACCTTAACTGAATAGACCGGGAGGTTAACTGGCTGTGTCCCACAGCGAAGGTAGTAACAGAGGGTGTCCAACAGGTAAAGGCTCAGCTCTGTCGGTTTCCTGGAAACAGAAGGCTGTGCAAAGGGCGGACAGGATTAGATGGACTGCATATAGTTATTCTTACTAAGATGTAATCACTACAGTTGGTTACCAGCTCAGGTAGCGTCGGGATGGCAGCTCCCAGACTGCTAACGTTGACACTGTACCATGGATCCACTCTCTCCAAACAGGACGCCAAAGACAACCTGCTCTCATCCTGTGAGGAGTATTAAGAGTTACGTAGTCCTCTGCACTCACACCTGTCAGAGCTGCTTTGAATGTGTCAGTGTAACTCACAGGTGAACTCAGTGAAGCCTCTGCATCAGAGACTGGGATGTAGTACAGCTGCAGGTCTAGTTTCTTGGTCAGCATGTTACGTTTGGCCTCTTTATTGCTGTATGGACATTTTTAGAAAAGTTTATTTAAAAGTGGGCGTGCACACACACACATACACACACTCCAGTATTTGGGATCCTCACCGTATGATGTAATAAGCCTTGGTGAGCTTTCCCAGGGTACTGTCGTCCCCCAGTACCACCACTCGAGCCGTGTGACTTCGCTCCTCTTTGAGTAGAGGCGAGTTTCCGGTAACATCTTCCTTCATCTTCTCCTTCATCAGACTCAGTTTTTCTGCAGACTTTGAGTTCTTCAAGGCATTTCTCCGTTCCCGCAGTGTCTTTTCAGCCGTGTAAGGCAGCTGCTCTGCGTCGTCTGAGTCCTTTAAGTCTTTCACTATCCCGCTGTCTCTTGAGATCCTTTCTTTGCCATCCTTAATGGATTTGGAGCCAGAAGGTAGGGCAAAGTCTGTCAACAGATTCCCTTAAGGAAAGACAAATTTAACGTCAGTTTCAAGTAAAACTGCAGCCTTCTTGTATGTGTGGTAAGATTATAGATATGAAGCATCAGTTCTTGTTTGTTTGATGGGCTCACATAGCATCTCTTCATCTGTCCACATGAGGAAGTTCATCTCTGGCAAGGGCACCATAGTGCTGTACACAGGACCTTGTTCATCATTCAATACATCTGAGAGAAGTGGATAAGAACTATTATTATTATTATCTCCACTTAGAATAACTTGTGTTATAACACACTACACTCAGACCTTTTTCAGAGGCATCCAAGATGTGTTTGTATATCTGCTTCAGCTCCTTCAGATAATCTGCACGACTGCCGGGACCATGCTGTAAACTCTGCTTCACAGTTTCAACCACATCCTGGAAATATTGCCTCACATCATGGTTCTGTAAAACCTGGAAGAAAAAAAATCAGGGGAACACATCAGATCTTGATGAATAGCTTGATGTGAATAAAGGAACAAAATGACACAGGAACATCCATCCATTCCACTTCTCGCTTTCAGGGTCACAGGAGCTTATTCCAGCTGTCATAGGGCGAGAGGCAGGGTGCACAGGTCGCCAGTCTGTCGCAGGGCTAACACGCAGAGACAGACAACCTTTCCCACTCACATTCACTCCCGTGTTCAATTTAGATTAATCGATTAACCTATCCCCACTAAGTGCATGTCTTTGGATGGTGGGAGGAAGCTGGAGTACCCGGAGAGACCCCACGTAAACAAGAGGAGAACATGCAAACTGGATTTGAACTCAGGACCTTCTTGCTGTGCGGTAACAGTGCTAACCACCGTGTCACCGTGCAGTGGAAGACAAATCCTTTCAGTGCTGGACTCAAACTCACAGCAAAAAAAGTTAATTTTGTTAAGTTTTCCTTGATTTGATTTGATTTTTCTGAGCAGTACATGTTCTTTTTATATTTGTAGAAATCAAGGTGGTGTGAACTAAAGTTCTGTTTTTGAAACCTGGAAAATGAAACCTGATATATATATACACCATTTGAACTAATTGGTGATTAGTTCATGTAGCTTATGTTTATATTTATATACATAGTAAATAATAAATCTGGGATCATGAAAATGAATGGGATTCATCCTCTGGGGATCACTACTGTTTCTTTGTCCAAAGCACCCCCATGGATATATTTACCTCAAGAGCTTGAGCTAGTCTGGAGCTTTGGCAGGTCATCCCTAACCCTGTCTCCAGCACACGACAAAGCACACTTTTCTCCATAGTCCGTGTGTTTGTGAGCCGGCGTGACACTTCCAAGTATGCTCTAACCTTAGCTTCCAGTGAAACAGAAAACACAGCTGGGTCTGCCAGCACAAACACTCTGCAGGACACAAGCAGGAGACAATAATGTTGCGATATACAGTTGAATCATTCTGATACAGGCCTGGAGGTCTTTCAATATGGCCTGCTTACTTTTCCCTGGCAGCAAAATGCTCATTCTTGATATTTTGCTCTGCGATGACTCTCTTCAGGTACAGAGATCCTGTTGAGGAAAGGGTTTGTCTGGTAAGAGTGAGGGCGGATTTTAGTATCGAGGTCACGCGTGTAAGGATATGTGATACCTGGTGCAGTCAGTTCCATCTTGATGCTCCTCAGAGTGTGCAGAGCCACAGTGGAGTATGGCGATGGCAGTATCAGCAGTTTCCCCAAACACTGATACGCTTTGTGATAAAGACCTTTAGGAATTGTGACACCTGCCTGGATATTGAAATACAGAAAAGCCTTTCAGCCTGTATTTGTACATTATTTACAGCTTGTTGCTGTTGCTGCAGTGTTTTCATGAACAATATCATATTTTCAGCTGTGTGTTGCCAAGTGCGTCTTACCTGAATGACTACATAGTAGAGCGTGTGCAGCACTGGGTTGACAGACATGTAGGCTTCGTTCTCATGGAGCTACACCAGCCAAGAAACCCAGACAAACAAGAATTCAGTATCTGAATTCATTTTGCACTTTTTAAGCAGAAGTAAAGAAAAGAAAGTCTTTAAATGCATAGCTTTTGCACAACTGCACAACTTGATTTTGACTAGACCCGATGAAGGACAAACCTTGGAAACTGTTGTTAACGTCTTCTCCAGGTTTTGGACCAGAATTGAGATTATTGAAAGGCTGCAGGAAGGATTGACTTCCACCTTCCTTTGGAGGTTCCATACCAGCATTCCTGCAAATCAGGCAGACAGTAGTTTGCTTGCATTGTCTCAAATAAGTGTGACTATCTATTTTAGCAGCTAAATTATCCCACTGTGTGTGACAAGGATGGAAGGTTGATACCACTACTATTAGCTAATTAGCTTAAAATAACTAAGCTCTGCAGCCCCTTATTAGGTATCCCTCACTCAAAACTATAAATCACAGCTTTAGGAGTCACATAGTTATGTGTTAATACTTTACACTAACCGGCCACTTTGTTAGGTACACGTGTTCAACTGCTCATTAATAGAAATATCTAATCCACCAATCACGTGGCAGCAACTCAAAGGATTTAATTATGTAGACAAGGTCAAGATGACCTACTGAAGTTCAAATCGAGCATCAGAATGGTTGTTGGTGCCAGTCAGGTACCATGATCTGAGTATTTCAGAAACTGCTGATCATGGAAACCATCTCAAGAGTTTCCAGAGAATGATCAGAAGACGAGAAAATATCCAGCTAGCGATGGTTCTTTGGGTGAACATGCCTTGTTGAGTCCAGAATTGAGAGATGAAGGGGCACATTGCTTCAAGCCACTGATAACGCAAATAACCACTAGTTACAGCCGAGGTGAAGAGGATCTCTGAATGCAAATATGAATATATTAAACCTTGTAGGCAGACAGGGCCCCACCAACAGACTGACACTCCTGCCACCAAAAAACAGGAAACTGAGGCTACAGTACAGTTTGCACAGGACAACAGAAGATTGGAAAAATGTTGCCTGGTCTGATTAATCTTAATTTTTGCTGCAACATTTGGGTGGTAGGGTCAAAATTGACATGAAACAGCATAAAAGCATGGATCCATTCTGCTTTGTATCAGAGGCTCAGGCCTTCTCACCAGATCTCAGTCAAACAGAGCATCTCTGGGAGAGTCACATCATGGATGTGCAGCCAACAAATCTGCAGCAGCTTAGTGATGTTGTCACGTCAACATACACCAAAAACCTCTCATGAATGTTTCCAGCAGCTTGTTGAATTAATGCAGTTCTGCAGGGAAAAGGAGTCTATCCCAATATTAGGAACATGTGCCTAATAAAGTGTCCAGTGACTGTATGTGTAATAGATTGTAAACAAAGGGAAGGAAAACAGGAAGTGATAAGGAAATATATCACAGTTTTAGAATCTATTTATTATAATTACTAATTAAACAACACTGTTAAAATGATCGCCTGTGTTGATGCAAACTATCCGCTAATGGAAGCGTCTGTTTTACTAGACAAACACGTTTCTCAGCAATGATGACGAGTTTTTAATAATCCATTATGTTGCTCTTTGACTTCAGACTCTGATTTCAGCACGCTTTCACTAGTGGGTACCTTTGTGGGAACAACTCTCGCTCTTCATCTCTTTGAAAAGAGCCTGGACATCATCATACAAGCTGGAGTCCAAAGTGGAGGAGAGGTCCTCTTTAGCTGTTAAACACACACACACACACACATACACACACACATTTTATTTGCATTCTCTAGACTCCGAAACTGCAGCTTTTACTGGTGAAACGAGAATGCCCATAAAGAAATGAAAACTCTCACCTGTGGGATCGACCATCCTTTCCACTCTTCAGAGTTTTTGAAGGCTTAATTTTAGCACAGCTGACTCAAACCAGAACAAACCACAAAAAGCCCTCTCCTCTGAGGAGAGAGTTCAGCACTAGTCCCCAACAGCTTAGCAACCGAAACGACAAAAATTGAACTGAGTACAAATACCTGATACCCTGCAGTGAAAGGTAAGTGCACTTCTGCTTTGTTGTCCGATGACTGGCTCAGCTATAAATACATCGTGCAAAGCATTGTTACTTTCATTCCTGCTCTGTGTGCAGCCTGCATTTCTCCAAAGCTTACTGCAGAAGCTTCTGTCCGAGCGAGCGTTTTCAAGTAAGTATGAACACAGTTCCCTCCTGAATATTCCCCGCTGCTTCCTGTTACCGACATAATGCCATGATGATCATCACATTACTATCTTAAGTATGCTCGGCAGGGTGTAATTAACTTATTGGAGGAAATAAAATTCTGAAACAAAACGTCACTATCCAAACACAGATGAGTGTAGTCTTTATTTCAGTTGGATGAGCTACAAAAACAAAATGAAATGCAAATGCTCATGAAGGTTTAGAAAACCAACAACACATGAGAATAAATAGCTTAGTTTATTACACAACATTATTGACTTGAAAATGTACACATTAGTACTCAAGTAATCAGTTTTCAAATTACCCACAGCAGATTTTAACCCACCCCCTACACAAACAGTGCCAGTAAGACAAGAACCTGTAAAATCCCACAACACGCCGACAAGTACACCCACATTCCTCAGTATGCAGCGAGCGCGCCAGTGTGTCAGAAGAAAAAGATGCGTACACTTCCTTATCAACAGGGCGGCACACCTTAATCTCAATTGTGGCGCACACATGAAAAAATGTCACTCTTTGTCAGTCTGTTTATGTTTCACCAGCTGTACAGTGTCCCTGCCCTCAAACATCCCAGCATTAGAAAGAATCCCACAGCTTTCTTCTTCTTCAGTGCGGCAACGAACCGGTCATGGATACGAGGACGAGAAAGAGGTGATGGGGAGGCAGAGCATAGAGCAGTAGGATGGGTGCAGAGGCTGGACTTGGCCCAGCAGCGGTTGGTAGGTCCTCCAGTCCAAACCGCTTCCCGGCTTACAGCACAGAGACACCTCACACCTGCGGGCGAGACAGAGCAACACTGCATTAGACTCTGAGACGCTGAGGTTGTGATTCACATTCGGAGAAAAAGGAGACACAAGAAAGAAATTTGCCCCCCATCCCCATCCTTTTCTCTCAATGCATTTAACAGATTACATAAAACAGAAAATAACAGCATGTGTGGCATATCTGTATGTAGCTGTGCAATGGTGCTGAGTACAAAGACATTGGAATAAATTATGGAATAAATCAGGGACAGTGAACTAATTACTATATATACAGCATATACAAAAGGACAGCGTATAAATAGTATATAGGCACTGACAACAACACAACATAACATATACTGCACACTTTGGTTCAGCTTTGTTCAGTTGATATTCAAATCAAGTATATTAAGTGCTGCTGATTTATTGTGCTTCATAATTGGGGCTAAAGAGTGTGAAAAGACACACGAAACCTTAAAGGTTTTGTTGTTAATGCTACAGTAATGCACAAATACAAAAGTGCAGCAGCTCATCTGGTGTCCTTCTTTATGAAGAAGAAGAAGCAGGTCTGGAAAATGCTTTAAAAATGAGCCAATTAGTCCTATTGCGTCAAGTGGGTCTTGGGAATTTTTTTCATATTTTGTTCACAGAAAAGAAAGGTCATAAAGAAACTGTAATAAATCCACCAGCTTTGGGCTTTTTATCTAAGGTTTTTGTGGAAGTCTGGATAAAATTACTAAATTTATTTTTTGTTATCAATTTATGCTCCAAAACATTGTTAGAAGTTAAAGTATTTTGAAGTTTGGTGAAAGTGTTTTCTTTGTGTAGGGGTCCCAAGAAAGAGGGCAAATGAAAGACTGAGCTGATATGTTTTTCAAGTTATAAATATGACAGATCAGCAGCTCAACATCTGTCCACATCTTTTACTTGTAACAGTGTAATTTTAACACGTTGCATTTATTCTTTCATGTAAGTCACGCAGCAGAGTATATTTATTTTCCAAAGCTTTAAAATGCAGGAGGAATTCTTTCTGCCACCAAACTCAGAGGTGATGCTTCGTTTTTTACCTGGTGACACTTTGAATAAACTTCTTCTCATCCTGATCCAAACACACAGCAAACGTCGTCCCGGGATCTCTCCCGTTCACCTGCATCTTGTCCACCTTCACTTCTGAGACTGAGATGTGCTGCCGGAGGGAGAAGAAGTGTGAGGAAGGGAAGGGGGGTTGTTTCAAAGGGAGAGTGAGCACATCATCACATTTAATATCACCCTCACCTGTTTGTAGCCCTTTTTGGACTTGGAGCACTGCCTCTTCAGGACTTCGGTCAGTGTGAGCTGCAGGCTCTCTGCTGAATCTGCACAGGCAATATTTGAATAGCTTAACTTACAACAAAGCATAGGTAAGACATAGAAAAAAGCAAAAGAAGAAGTGGGAATCACACGCACCGAGCTGCTGAGGTGTCCTCCACTGTTTGTGAAGATTAATCGATGTGCACATGATTTCTTTATTGATCCACTGGCTCCTCCCACTGATTGCCACCTGTTGCCGAGTCACAGATTAAGGAAATACGCCAGGCTGTGAATTTAAACATCATCTTATTGCTCGTGTTGCAGGAAACGAGTGTGTGGGAACAATACCTTGTTGTATGCAAGGCTTAGTGTTAGAGGGACAGCCTCTCGTTCCTCATCAATGCCAAACCTTTTGCTGGCAGCACCTTCAGAACAAACATAAGGCAAAATTAGACACACATGTGCAAAAGTGTGTGTTTGGCTGAATGGTGTCGCTGCTGTCTGATTACAGACATCACAGACTGATTTCAGAGTGTGACTCACCCATGGCCTTCACAGCTCTGGTTCCAGCCGTATGTCCGAGCTCCAGAGACTGAATAAACACTTCCCTTCTCCTCTCTCCTCCAACCAGGGTGAGCTGTGCAGAGGAAGGAAGTATTCATGGTTATTGTGTCCTGTGCATGCCCGTGTGTGTGTCTGTCTGCGTGTGTGTGTGTGTGCATGAATCTGCTCTGACCTCAACCTGGTAAAGCTGCACCAGAACAGGCTGGTCTGCATGTCTGCAGTAATAAAGCACCAAATCAGCCAGCAGGGGAAGCTGCTCCGTACCGCCGTTGCTGTGCGAGACGCTGTCATCCTTAGAGGCCGCCTGAGTCATTTAAAAAAACAAAACAAACTATGTTGTTATGTTGGCAGCATGCACATAAATTAAGTATGCTCATTAAAATAGTTTTGCCCAACTCGCACCTGGTAAAAGGAGAACTGAAAAGGTCGCTATTTTTAGGATGAACTTCTGAAACACTGAAAAGTCCCCACAAAACTGATTCAGCTCATGAGGTGTTTTCAGATCTCCAAACAGTCCTCCACACATGGAAAAACTGAGAGATTTACTATGATCATCACTATGATCTCCAGCCATTTCATCGCTCCTTTCATATAGCAAGTGCCTCACATAAGACCTCAAAGGATGAGTCCAAAATGAGGCCTAGCTTACTTTTAGTGCTAGTTTGAGTAAGAAAAATTAAAACAAGGACACTGGATTCTTTATTCCCTGTAATTCAACTTCATCACTTAAGAACAGTGATTGGAAAAACATCAGCGACTTTTATAGACTTCTACTGTGTGCCGTATGAAACACTGAGAGGTGATGGTGACTGAGTAAAATATACCTGAGAGAGCACGTCAGAGGACAAGCTGAGCAGACTGAGGACATTTCGCTCATACCAGGGATCCATTATACCCAGCATGTGAGCTATATCGGTTGTACAGTCGTCCACTGCAAGGCCATTTGAGTCCTGTATGAAAAGTAAGGTTGTCTGTTCAATTATATTAATGACATTTCATTATCCATAAAAACATGGCTGTTATTTTACAGTACTCAGTGCTTAATGCTACCCGGTGTGTTGTGCAGCCGACAAATCTGCAGCAACTGTTTGATGCTATCAAGTCAATATGGACCAAAATCTCTAAAAGTAGTAGCTGTAAACCCAGTACTAGCAAGGTACACCTAATAAACTGGCCATTGAGTGTATATATCAGTTTTAAGTTTATAACGAGAAAACTTCAGAAATGGCAGGTTGTTAAAAAAATGTCTACAAAATCACATTAATGCTAACTCAGCAGCCAGTGCTTTGGGTAATGTTCAGAAATAGTGTCAACCACTCATAAAGGAACAGTCTGATGAAATTGTTCTAATTACCAGCAGGGGGCGACTCCTTTCTTCCAGACTTTTAAGAAATCTGTGAGAAAGTGACTTCTCGCCTCCCTTCATCAATGATGTCAAAATATCATTTGTTGAAGGTTTTTTTAACGCAACGCAGTATCAATTTTGACATGAATCTATTTAGAGAGAAGCTGATTGTATGATGATTTGAAGTGTTGCTATGAAGTTGTTACCAAATTGGTTTTGTAAAGTTGAGTAAAAACAAACAAACAAACAAACAGCAAGCTGACAACAGGCAAAACGCTCAGATAAAGGTATCAAAACAAAACTAAAATAAATGTGCTGGCTACATCCATCTTTAATGTACAGTCTATATATTTGACGTGTAAGTCCTGGAGAGAAAGCGAATTTATTATGAACAATGGTTTTTTTTGGAGCCAGGCACAAAAACTACTCATAGCTGATCAATGAAATTAAAAGTTGTTTTAAGGATTATTCTTTAAAAGTGGTCCCATCCTATCTATGAACATATGGAGATAAAAGACAGGATAAACTGAGAGGTGGCAGATGTTCTCACCACAGAGGTAGTGGTTTTGGTTAAACCTCCTATCCACTCCTCAGTTGGTGTGTGCCCTCCTCCTGGACTTCCACTTCGTCTTTTGGTGGGAACAAAGTAAAACTGCAGCTTGCACACCTTGGTGAGCTGGGGACATTTGCTCTCTTTCTGATGCAGGTCGCTGTAGGCTCTGGCCAGCCTTCCAGCCTCTCTGTCACCTCCAAACACCACCACCTTGACGAGGGTAGGTGCTTCTACCAGATCCTCCTCGTTGCAACTCAGGATCGGTCTCCTGCGGACGCACAAATGCTTTTGGGGGGAAAGAGGATCCAAGGGAGCAGGGGACTCATGAAGGGGATGAACTTTGGAGGGTTTGAGGTGTGTCTGAGTTCTTTCAAAGTCTTTGTGGTAGGCCATGCTCTGGACACGGCGGCAAACCCTAGGACTGCGAGGGGGCTTGAAAAGCAAGGAGAAGCCTAGGAGGGATCTAGACTTCTTCTTGGGTTTCTTTCTAGGTTTGGGCTGGCTGTCTGGTCTTTCCTCTATGTCCTCCTGTGTTGTCTCCTCGCCCGATTCCACACCCGATGAGCCAGACGGCACAGACCAGCTGGAAGACAGAGAGTAGCCAGAGTCCCTGGAGGACGAGGACGCGGTGGAGATGCGATGACTTTGAAACTCAGCATCATCTTTGTTTCCTTCCAGTTCTTCTTCCTCATCGAAGCTGGTGTCATTATTGTCATCATCGTCAAGTCCGGTTTTAAGGAAACAGTCTGACAAATCCATGTCATTCTGAGCTCCAAGAATGTGTTTCAGAACATCTGCAGTGATGCAAAGAGCAGGATTAGCGTTAGCAGATTATCCTGTAGCTCAGTTAAAGGAAGCTTGAGTCATAAATCTGTTTAAACTGAGCTTGTTACCAAAGTTATCATTTTCCCAGTGGCATTTGTGGCATTTGGGGAAGGGCAGCGTGAAAATGTCAACAGCTCCTGATGAGAAGAGGAAATACTGAGATTAAAGTGAACAGCGCCATTGTCATATATAGTGCTTTCATGTTATTTCATGTTATTCCCTGACCTACCCATGTCTGTGCCTTCATCGGCACGAGCAGGTATAGCAAGGCTTTCTTTGAGCCTCTCCATTCTTTGGAGTATTCCCTCTCTCGCTGATCCAAGATCTGCTGCAGAGGCTGCCATCTCCATGCTTTCCGTCAGTGACTGCAGAATCTGGTCCAGCTCCTCAGGCTGCTTACTCTGAAAGAAACATTAAACATTAAGAAAAAAAAAACAAAGAAAGAAAAAACTTTAAGGGGAAAAAATTGTGAAAAACAGTAAAATTACATATAATATATAATAATATTTACCTACAAATAAAGGTGGGGTATGCTAGAATAAGGGGGAGGCAAGTCAGATTTTCACAGGAAGCAAAGAAATAATTATACCGTAAAATCACTGATTTTAAGTAATATGCAATTTCTTGGTAATTGTGCAGAATAATTTTTTTTCCTCATGTTACATTGTAATTACATCGTACTTATTTTAGAGAAGCCCTGTGCCTTTGAAAAGTATAGTCTCATTAGAAAGTGTTACCAAAACAGTCAGTGGGGAGTCACCTGCAGGGCTTTGTGGAGCTCCTGTAGGTCATGTTTGGTGCCCAGAGCTGCCTGAAAGCTGTGCAGGATCAGAGTGATGGTGACGTCTCTGCTGCAATGCTGGGAGGCACTCAGCTGCTCGGAGACTGACTGCACCTCTGTAGGAACATCGTCATCTGGACTCACCAGCAGTACCGTGCTGCATACATTAACGCCCACAAACACACACGCAGATGTTTAGTGTGCACAGAAATAGCAGCAATGTTTAGCTCATTTAACAGATATTATTTTTAATATTTTCACTCACATTCTGTAACCATTACATTTTTCATGGACTTACATGGTTTTAGAGCCGTGAATCTCATGGGAAATACCCTGCTCCGTCCTTACCAGTCTTTGAAATGAAAGACCTACAGCAAACAAATAGGAGAAAGGTCAAATACATGGATCTACATGTATGAATGCATGAGGTTTTGTCAGGGAAACACTGCCTCCATGTGGTCACATGGTAATTAACCAAACCAGTGGTTTCTATATTTTCATGTGTCAACACGACTTCACCAAATGAACTCTATTAGACCTTAAGTGTTGTTATATTCTCTCTTATAACTTAACTGGTAAAGTAACAACGCCTTTTTGGTTGTAATGGTAAAGGGACTGATTCTTATACAGCACTTTTCTACTCTCCCGGAGTACTCAAAGCGCTCTATACAACACGCCACATTCACCCAGTCACACAAGCACAACCTCTATACTGAGTGCTTTCTAACTACACTCACACACATTCATACTCCGATAGACGCATCGGAGAGCAACTTGGGGTTAGTATCTTGCCCAAGGATACTTGGCATGCAGACTGGAAGAGCCTGGGATCAAACCTCCAACCTTCCGAGCAGTAGGTGACCTGCTCCACCTCCCGAGCTACAGCCAGGAAGTAGCTTACTTTAATAACCATTTTGAGGAAAGGCACAGACATATCAATGCGCACATACACCACACTTGGTGTTCTCTACTTTACACAGAAAGTAGTACCACAAAACTATAAACTGATTTTACTAAATAAATAACAAGTGTCAACAGCAGTCAGTCACTAAGTGGATTCATATTAGGTGCCACTTAATTCTACTGGTGGAAGTTTCCACATTTACCAACAGAATTAACCACCATTTAGGATTGTTTGGTCAAGTCTGATTACCTGATTAACCAAGTCTGATTAACATTAAACTGATAAGTAGCTTTGAGTTAACTCTAAACTATCTGTTAGCTGCTTTGTTTTGAACTCAGTTGGCTTCCTCCTTCTCTGATTAAAGGATACAACCTTCTTCTTTTTGTTTCCATTAAACTGGCTTTGCTGCCAATGACGCTCACTATTATTGAATAAACACTTAGCTAGTAGTAACTACTGGTGGTATCTATTGTTATGTCTTTCATATTTCACTGCTGTGCATATTAGTTTCATTTCAACCTGGTGCTCGGAGCTCCTGCTGGATGACATTAAGCAGACGTTTAGCAGCAGAACTGCAGGGCTCGGGCCAGGACAGGAAACCATGGAACAACAGGTTGGCGTCCTGCAGCACGCCACTGTTTGCTGGCAAGTAAGGAGCCTGCAAGAGTGAGTAAGTGTTAATGTAAGTTCCACAAATGTTTTTACTGTGCAGCTGATAATGGGAGGATTCCTTCTCATTTCTGTCCTGATCAGTAAATAATAACTCACTCTCAGGAGGGTGGAAGAGAACAAGAGCGAGAGCGGCACCACCAGCTCATACTGACACTGCTCCAGCACCTGTAGAGGAAGAAAAAACTTGAATTGAAACCACTGCCTTTCCTCCTATAGCAATAAACAGCACAGAAATTGATGTTGGTGTTTCGGCTTTTCACCTCCTTTGTTTTCCTCAGTATTTGCTGTAGAAGGATGAGGAAGTTGTGGGGATCTCTCTTGACAAGTTCCTCCAAAGACCAGCGATTGATGCACAGTCCGGCTAGTCAGGGCAGAGAGTAATTTTAAAAAACCTGAACTGAGCTGCGTATTTCTCCTTTTAGGTTTCAGTCTGATGGCAACCAGTAAACAGACTGTTCAGGTACTCGGCTTATAGTTAGAAAGATGCTTGAAAACAATGACACCACTTTCACTTGCTGCCTGTTTTTCAATGAAGGGTTTTTAGTTAGAAATTTTAAAAAAGGATCTTGCATAACCGGATACTTGCTCATTCTGTGTGTCACCACTTTCAATTCCCATTTTCTCTGACAGCTCCCAGTTCATTAAGGGTATAAGTCTTATCACATTATTATTTGGAAAAGGCTTTTTAAAAGGCTATTTTAAATAATATTTTAGATAATAATATTTTAAATAATTGTACAGTTCTTCCACCAGTAGTTTTAACGTGTCTTCCCCCGCCCCTCATAGTGCTTTGTTAGGCCGATGATATCATTTTCTGGAGTGTTACCATTAAAAGCAGCTTTGCTTTTGAATCCTACCTTTCCAGAGCTGTGTGTCAGGAGTGTCGACACCCAGGTGACTGAGGCAGCGCTCGAGGACATGCTGGATTCGATCCTCGGTGCACGAGCTCTGATCCAGCGTCTGCATCGTCTTCTACTGAGGCAGACAAATAGAAAAAAAGCTAAATTACTCCCTTTGATGCTTTGGTCTCTTTTGGTCTCTGGTCTCTTCAGTCACTCAGTCTTCCCACTGATGGTGCTGGCCACACTTTACAATCATTGTTTATCCCTTTCCAGACCAACACTTGCTCTCACAAGCAAACAGCAAGTGTCCAACCAGCGTCCACAGCAGGGTAAAAAAAAACACAGCAGACTGGCACTTCCTAGTAATGCCAGTGAGTCACAGACTGAGGGAGTGGACCGGAGATGAGCTGGTGGAAAACAGCTCAACAACTTCTACTTTTTCATTCTTAAAATCAGCTGGTGACACCACATTCATGTGACTCACAAGCAAGTTGGAAATTACTTACAAAAGGACAACTCCCTATTTGAGCCTCTTTAGTCCTAAATCAAGCAAACGTGTGACTTTGAAGTAAAAATGGTCGCACGAGAAAAAAGAATCGCTGGTATTCACTTACATGCACCTGTGGTTTGGGCGTTCACACATTTAGCTGCAATAAAAAGCGCACAGTGAAGTAGGTAGCAGCATGAGCAGATTCCCCTGAGACATGGTTTGCTGCAGTATTTACTTAAACTCAGATCACACCCTTTGACATGGATGAGAAGGAATATTTCCCCTGCTACTTTTTCTAAGGAAGCTGTAACTGGAAAAATGGGCTAATCTCAACCAATCAAAACAGGGAAAGGCCTCTCTGAGGCACACTGTGTAAATTAAAGGGAACCTCTTGTGTCATTTATATATATATATATATTGTGGATGCTCATATTAAGCATGCCTAATGAAATAATGTGAGCAAAACGTTTCAAAGCTTCAGACTGCTCCAAACATGTGTTTCCCAGCACCTTTTTTCTTGTCTTGGCTTCATATGATGTCACTGAGAGTGGATATCCCTTATATGGTTATCTCAGGCGCAACAGCCCCGCCCACCTGCTGTCCAAACTTGTTTACCAGAGGCAGTCAATGAGAAGACAGTTAGCTTAAAGGAAGGGGAAGAAGAGTAACAACAGTTTGTTTTAGACAGCAGGCCCAGTGTAAAATATGTAGAATTATCCAAAGAGTTCAGCAACAACCAAAAATATGTAGCTTGAAATGTGCATAAAGAGTCCCGCTGAAACTTTAAAAGAAAAATGGAACTACTCTCTTTAGACATGGGTAGACATGCAGAGCGTTCACAGTATTGCAACATAGTGGTGACGCTGAACTTGCTTGCTTCCATGGTCAGATGAACTCAGCTAACCTTTCACCAACATCACCAGTCGAATGAGATGTTTCAGCCACATATCCCTTACTTTCAGCTGCCTACAGTATTTCTTATAGGTAATGATTTCAAACTTTGTGTAATGTGTTTGCGTACATGAAGACACACACAAACACAGAGACACACATCCTCTACTTGGGAACGACCGTAACAGAGGATACAGAAAAACAGGAATTAAAGAGGAACATGAAACAAGTCACTGACACAGACAATGACTTTTAGTCACGCTGTGGCTTCGTAGTTGTAGTTCAAGCTTCAAATCTAAAGCTGCAGGGCACGAAATAACTACATCTGCGCATAGCACATGACCAACAAGGATATGCTGGAAGTATTTGTTTGCAGCAGCTACCTGGCATATCCCGTAGCAGCGAGCAAGTCCATCAATTGTCCACTGAGGAAGCAGGTGTTAATCCATTGTATGCTTTCAGGCTATATTGTTCAGGCCTGACGTGCCACAATGCAAAAAAACAACAACAACATTATTTGATGGGAACTTGACACAATAGGATTGCTGCACTTTAAGCCAATCAAATGTATTTTTATGGCGTGAAAGCCCGGTTACATCAACATCAGCTTTCAACAAAAGAAGAGGAACAGGAAATCTGCAGAGGTTGAATTAAAGTTTGCAGTTAGGTCTCTGATAAGCTGGGTGATAGATGCTCGTTCTAAAACGAGGTATCAGATGTGCGCTACAGACAGCCTGATATGAGCAGAGATGCACATGCAAGTTGATGCTTAAATGTTTTTAATGCGCATAAAATTAGAGACAACCAGCAAAGCGAGATAAATCTTACCAGTGAGCACTGTAATCTGTGTCCTAGATCATCCCAGATGTACCACAACTGAGAAACGCCAACGAAGGGAAACAATACAGAGACCACATCCTCCTGTGTTGGTGCTTTTCAAAAATAGACCCTCCAACTGCACAGCTAAGAGAGCATGTGCTGCAAAACAGGAACTTGATGAGTCTTTATGCTGAAGTAGTTTACATAAGACATTGTACTGAAGCAGTAGGAGGAGTCTTTTTTTAAGACGGACCTCATTTGACTGAAGTTGTTCACAACATTGTGCCATAAAAGTCTAGACTGTTGTGATCAAATGTGTCAGTCCCTAGAGATAAGGCGATAAAAACTGGGGTTCTTAGTCCTTTACATAGAGAAATCAATCACACAAATTTAATATAAATTTCTGAACACAGACTCCACAGCATGCCAAAGGCTCTTTGGATGGCCTATGTGAGTGTAAGCAGTGCACATACAGCACTTAGGAAAGCTGTTTTAGGTAGTAAGTGGCAGCGAATGGCCAGTTTGAACAGTCTCTGGTAAATGAAAGGATCAGTCAGTTTTCTGATGACACCAAGAGATGTTAACTACTCTTTCTGGTAAGAAAACGCTTTAGTAGGAAACATATTTATGCCATTACTGGTAAATGCCTGTTCACATGGTATAATTCAGTGAGTGTCAGAGGGAACTAGATGTGTGCATCTTCTCTGTGCTCTGAGTGCAGGACACTAGTTCCCTCTAGTGCATTGTGTGAGCAGAATAAAGAGAAAATAAAGTGAGGTAGGATGTCAGTTAAGTAGATTTTGAATCCTTCAAGATGCAAAATTAGCTTTGGCGGTTTCAGGCAAATACAGTAAGCCCATTAGATGCTTAAACCAAAGAGAGGAGAGCTGAAGCTGTCGCTGATCGTTTTTTCCTTTTTAAAAACATAAGAAGAAGAAAAGAATTGTGTGCCTGGTTAATTTCCTGCTATTAAAGTTGATATCGCTGAAAGTGGGTTCATATGAAAACCAAATAAGATTCTGAAATCCATAATAACCTGTTTAAGTTAACAAGTTCATGTTTCAACTCATTGTAGGGTGTCTTCCTCTCTTGTGCTCGTGTTTAATACAAGTATTACCAACATAGGACAGTCTTGTCAGGGGAGGCACTGGGGGGACAGCAAATTTTAGGGGGTTGCCAGTGCTCCCCAGAGAGAAGCGGGATACAGCGGTAGAAGACCACGCTGGGCACCAATCCTAATAGCTAAGAAAATGAAACTGAGGCTACAGTTTGCGTGCACTCACCTAAATTAGTCAACTGAAAAAACACTGCCTGGTTTGATGAGTCTCTTACTGCTGTGATATTCAAATAGTATGGTCAGAATTTGGAGTAAACAACATAAAAGCATGGATCCATCCAGGTGGTGTAATGGTGGGAGGAATATTTTCTTGGCACACTTTGTGTACCAACGGAGCATCATGTAAAATTACACCTACCTGAGTATTGTTGGTGACCATATCCACTGTCTTATGACCACATTGTTCATATCTTCTCTGGCTGCTTCCAGCAGGATAAAGAACCTTATATCAGTGGTTTCTTGAACATGACAGTGAAAACAACTTTCCTCCACAGTCATCAGATCTCAATCCAATATAGAACCACTGGGATGTGCTTTAACAGATGATGCACATGCAAATCTGCAGCAGTTGTATGACGCTGTCATGTCAATACAGAACAAACCCTGTTGGCAAATATTTCCAGGACCTTTATCAGTCTCTGCCGTTAGGAATTAAGGCAGCTCTGAAGACAAAAGGTAGTCCAACGCAATATTAGCACAATGTAAGAAATAAACTGCTGAGTGTAACTTATTGTTGCTTTGTGTAGCAGTAGTGATGCTCAATGTGCTACATTTGCTTTTGTTTTGTGATGTTTCCTCTTTTACCTAACATTATCACAGC